CCCGTGTCTCACCCGCTCTTGTATCCCAGCCAGACATTTGATCAGTACCTGAGCGAGTTAAACCTCTGTGCTAAACCTCTGTGCCGTGCGAGACATGGTCTTCCTGGAGCTTCCCCAGCTGTCCCGTGGGAGAGGCCAGGAGGGAGGCAGCCGCCAGTAGGCTGTGCGCCGGGATGGGCAGCGGTCGTGGGGGTCAGGGGTCGCCTGGGCCGCTGACTGATGGAGCCTGGCCTTGCAGCCCCCAGAGGCACCCACCTGTGGGAGTTCATCCGCGACATCCTCATCCACCCGGAGCTCAACGAGGGCCTCATGAAGTGGGAGAACCGGCAAGAGGGCGTCTTCAAGTTCCTGCGCTCGGAGGCCGTGGCCCAGCTCTGGGGCCAGAAGAAAAAGAACAGCAGCATGACCTACGAGAAGCTGAGCCGGGCCATGAGGTGAGCGGGCGGTGCGGCGCCGGCACCGTCGGAACCTCCCCCTTCCGACGGCTGTGAGTCCCGTGCAGCGAGGAGCCACGGGGTCTGGCCACCTCGTGGACTCAGTGGGAGCCTGGCTGGCCCGCAGCAGAACTTGGTCTGACAGCATTTCTTTGTGTCGCCTGCAAGGCTCGTCCTAAGAAAGGCCCTTGGTGGTAAAAAGGGCAGTAGCCGAGGCCCACACCATTGAAGCCATTAAGTTGCCTGTCTCTGGACCTTGGTTTCCTCGCAGACCATCGCTAAGGTTTCCTCAACCCTAAAATCACGTGGCTTCATGATGGGCCCAGGACAGAGGCGAAAGCCACACGGAAGCCAGGGCATGGCCCGGTGCTCGGGACAGAGCAGGGTGAAGGAGCAGAGGCTCCTCCGTGCAGGAAGTGGCTTGGGCCCAGGTCGGCCGGGCTGCGGCCCAGCGGGGCAGGTCACCTGAGGGTTCCGGGCAGGCGGGCCCCCGCCTGGGCACCTCTGACCACCCTTCTCCCCTCAGGTACTACTACAAACGGGAGATCCTGGAGCGGGTGGACGGCCGGCGGCTTGTCTACAAGTTTGGCAAAAACTCCAGCGGCTGGAAGGAGGAGGAGGTGGCCGGGCATAGGAACTGAGGGTTGGACCGGCCCCGCAACCAAAGCTCGGACCTGAGGCTGCAGCCCCCGGAGGGGACCACCAGGACGCCTGGGCATGCGCCCTGCGCCGTGAAGAGAAGCTGAGGCTCTGGCTCCTGTCGGCCGTCGTCCTGGCACCTGGGGCAGATGGCCTCTGCTCTCTGTTCTCCTCTTGGAATTACAAGCCTGGTGTTTGAGGCCACTTGTGCGCTGGCTGTAGCTGCGCTCACGGCTCCTTCTGTCTGGGCCGCGTCGGACCCGATCAGACCCCAGTGGCAGACACCTCCCTCCTACAGAGGCCGGAGCGGGCTGAGAAGGCTGGGGGCCCTGGGCCCTGAGAAGGGCCCCCTCTTTCTGGACTGGCTTCCCCATCCCCACTCAGTGCTTGGACTCCGCAGGCGGGGGTCAGAGCACTCCGTAATTTATGTGCTATAAATACAGATATGTACATAGAGATCTATTTTTTCTAAGACATTCCCCTCCCGCCCCTCCCTCACCAGGTGCTGGTGGCCACACTGACTGTTCTAGGCCCTCTGCTGGACCAGTGTGGAGCAGGGCGATGCCCTTGGGATGGGGCTCCTGGCTCCCTCCTCCTGTGAATGGGGGCAGAGACCTCCAATAAAGTGCCCTCTGGACTTTTTCTAACCTTTGTCTTAGCTACCTGTATACTAAAGTCTAGAGCTCTGGCCCGGATGTGGGCAATGGGGCTGGGAAAGGGGACCAGGGCAGGGGTCTGCCGGCTGCAGGTGAAGGTGGAGGCTGAGGTTGGGGGAGAGGGAGGGGACGGGTGATCCTTCCCTGGAGCTTGGGCTGACCTGCCGCCACGAGGCACCAGCGGGGCGACCTGGGCCGAGCCAGGCCTCTGCAGCCCGCTGCCCCGCTGTCAGGCCGCTGTGCCCTGGCATCCACTAAGGAGTCTGGAATTGCGTGTCTGGCCTTGTGGAATAGATGTGCATTCCAGCCAAGCTGGCTGCAAGCTGAATATCTGTAAGATGAATCCAAGCTTTCGTTGTCGGACGTGGAATCGGAGTTATGATCTTGCGGAGGGAAAAACAAACAAAGCGAGATGAGTGCTTGAGGACTCGGGGGAGGAGGAATGCCTGGCCTGGTCTACGTGGCACCGCGGACACCGCTGCCACTGCGTGGCCCCCTCCCCACGACGGAGACTGACAGCCCGGGTCACAGACGCAGAGGGAGGCTCGGCTCCCCGGGGACTCAGCCGTGCTCCCTGCCGTCCCCCCAGAGGCTTCTCCAGGGTTGGGGCTCCTCTGACGGTGTCCTCAGCAGACTCCAGAAGGTGCTGCTCTGTCTGCACAGAATGACACATCTGGGTTCAGGTGGGGCTGTAGGTGGGGGGGGGGGGCTCGTGAAGAACGTCTCCCAGAGCGGAGTTCCTTAAGTCTGAGGCCTCAAGTTCCGGGGAGCACTTTAAAAAGCCATTTTGTGCGTTTGCAAGGCTGTTTAGCTGTCTTAGAAATATCAGATTATTCACCAAAGGGATGCGGGTAAGAAAGGGATCTGAGAAAAACAGGTGTGTGCTGGTGTGTGCGTGTGCACGTGTGTGCAGGGGGCTCACTCAGGAGGACAGGGCCTGGGGGCTAGGAGGGTGGGAAGGTCGCTCCGGAGGGCATGGAGTCATGAAAGAAGCTAGAGTCCTCTGGAGCCCTTGGGGTAGAAGCCTCCTTGCGAAAGTGGGTGCCGGGTGCGCGCTGGGGTTTACTCTCCAGCAGTCCCCACTCCCCCGCGGATGCTTTATCGGGGGTCCCGGCCTAATAGTCGCCTCATTCCTTGAAAATGACCAAGCGCGGGCGCTGTGCTCACCTCTCCGCCCGCGTCATCTGGGGTCCTCGCGCCCCCAGAGGGTCACCCACGTTGCCTGAGCCCCTTCTGAGAGTGGGCAGGGCACCAGAGCACACCGGGACCAGAGCACACCTGCGGGACCCCAAGCCCGCCCGGGACCCTCCGCCTCCATCAGCTTGTTCAGCCCTGAAGGAGGCACCGGCGGCGAGACGCGGCCCGGAGGGTCCGCGGGGCAGGAGAGCTGCCCGCGGCCCAGCCCTCATCCCCTGCCAGAGGGCCCGAGGCGGCAGTGCCCGCACGGCGCGCCGACCTTTGTGCTGCCGTTTTCAGTTTATGAGGTGCTTTCCTCATCCTTTATCTCATTCCTTCCGCACCACAGCCCTCGGAGGGGACTGGGCGTCCCCGTGTCCCGGCTGGGGCAGGAGGCTGGTCCAAGGTCGGCGGAGCCTGGACTCCTGCCGGCGCTTGGGGGCGGCAGGGGGCGGCAGGGGGCGGCAGGGGGCGGGGCCTCGCTCCGTCCTAGGGGGCGTGGCCCTCAGTGTCTCCGTCCCAACCCCGCAACCCCGCCCCCGCCCCCCTCCCCAGGACACTGCAGGGCCCGGCAGCCGCGCCGTCCGCGCCTCTCCGCCGGCTGGACTCAGGGGCGTGGCCCACCTCTTACTGCCCCCGTGGGGTCGGGGGGCTGCTGGGCAGGTGAGGGAGCCCCTCGCGGCGTGCCTGCGGGGGAGGGGCGGCTCCGCCCCTTCAGCTCCCCTCCCGCACGCGGGGGAGCCGAGCTTTCCCTGTCTTCCATTCCTTTCCTCTGTTTACACCCTTTCACCCTCAGGAGCTGTGGGGCCTCCGGGCAAGGCCGGGCTTACTCATCTCAGTGCCTCCGCAGCGCCTGGCACAGAGAAGGCGCTCGATAAATATTTGCTTGGCTGCCCTGTGCCTCTCCCTGCCTCTCCCTGCCCGGCCGCCCCCTCCCCCTGGGCACACCCGCACTCAGGCCCCCCAGCCTCACACTCGCACACAGACACACACAGACACACACACACACACACACACACACACACTCACTGCGCCCCCTGCAGTGGACGCA